CCAAATGAGGTAACCAGCCAGCCCCTAAAGTTCTTTTTTAAGAAAAGTATTAGAAGAAGAAGAACTGGTAGACCAAGGAAGGATGTTAGGAGAATCTCAGTTTGGTGTGAGGCACTGAACTTGGAAGTCAGAAAACTTTTGTGTGAGTGCTGGCTCTACTGCTGACCAGCTCTGTGACTGTGGCTGAGTGTGTAACCTTCTGTGCCTCTCTTTCCTCATTTATTGCAATAACAAGAATAACAATGGTAAAAGCTAATTTGTGAGGCTTACCCTATGCCAGGCCTGTACCATAGGGACTGTCACTTTAATCCTCTCCCAACAGCCACGAGAGATGAGCCCTATCACTCCCATTTTACAGATAAGGCATCTGAGGGCAGGCCTGAAGTCTTCAGCACAATGTCCGGCACAGAACTTCAACTGGGGTTGAACTCTGAATCCCATGGCTTCTCCAGCCAACTGCAAGTGCTCTGCACCTGCACTCTGGCCCAGTATCCATTGTGGGTGCCCAGCTCTGCATGGTCCCCACTTTGCATTCTCTGGAATAACTCCACACCTCCTGATGATGCAAGAACCCGTTGCCCTAGGGCTTCCGACTGCTCCATCTGCTGCCTGCCACTGTGACACATCAGTCTACTCTTTTTAAAAAATATTTATTTTAAAGCCATCAGCCCACTCTTAATTCTTGGAGATTTTGGCCTGACCTGACCAATTCATGTCCAAGCCAGCAGGGTGACATGCCACTCAGTCCTTGATTTTATGGGGAATCATGTTTGCTCTAGGCCAAGAACATAGCTCAGTGCAGGCTAAGAAGCAGAATCACAAAATGTCATTGCTAGGAGGGCCCTCAGAAATAACTGGCTTCTAACTCTGACCCAGAGAGGTGCCTCAGGGATAGGCAAAGGGGGTCTCCACTCCCCCCAACCCTCCTTCAATCAGACCAGCCCCATTTTAAAAGTTTTATATACCGTGCTTCTGAATGAGATTTCCAAAGAAAGGGTTACGCTGCTTTTTTAAAGTTTGAAAGTTGCCGTTTTATGCCAACTCCCAAGTTTCCAGGTATAGAAACTGAGGCCTAGAAGGTAGAAGTAACTAGCCAAGGGTCACAGAGGTCATGATTGACTGGCAGGAGGTCTCTGGATTCGAGGCTTAGAGTTCTTGCCACACCTCGACAACAGCCACATGGGAAACTAGAGCTTCTGCCTCATTCACTTTTACGTCATTCTTGAGGATTCTTTAGCTACAGGCTAGAAAGATCTAGAAGCACAATAACTCTCCCAAGGTTTTCCATCTCTTCCCTCTCACTTCACAGTTCTCTGAGGCAACTGCCAATGTTTGGCTGCCTTGACACATGAGGACGGATGCTCCCAAGGCTAGCTGTTGAAATCGGCCTGTGACCGCAGCAGATGTAAATCAAATAGAGGAAAATTCTGATAATTGGACAAGGGAGATAGCAAATAATTTTCCTCACTAAAGGAGAGAGAAACACTTATTTGTAATGTCGTCTACCCGAAAGTGAAATAAACTTACACAAGGACAAAGCAAAACTACACGAACTTTTTAAAAGGTGCATTTACCTGAGAGAATAAATGAACCCTTGGTGTTTCACTGTTACGAGTACTCCAATTATTAAAGTAGCAGTATTAAACTCTCCACTCCTCTTGGAATAATACTACAACTCTGCTCTGTCCGTCCCCTTCAAACATAAAAAGAAAGTTCAATATGAGTCTTAGCTTGCAAGGGGCAAAACCTCTTTCCCCTATGAGGATTTGTCAGTGTGAGGCTAAAAATGGTCCTTTGGTTGACTTGTGCGTAATTGATTCTCTGACGCTGACGACGTTTAGGAAAATGAAGGTATAAATGAGGGAGTGCCACGCAGCCGCAAGAGCAAGCGCCCAGTCCGAGGTCCCTGGCACTGAAGCAGCACTTCATAGCAGAGGGAGACCTGCCACTTCGGAGGTAAGAGGGGGATGGCTCTGGGGGCTGGGATGGATAGGGGCAAGAAAAGTTGACCTTCTCATCAACCCAGAGACACCAGGCCAAAGAGGTCCACCACCATCCTCTTTGCCCATGGACTGGTGAGTACATTGGACCCCTCCCTAGGGGCTCTGGGATGAGCTTTTGATGGTTGGTGCCATTTTGAGATGGTCTTGGCTGCGTGGCACCTCAAGCCCTGGACAAGTGGCAGGCAGACCTGTTCCAGGTGTCTGTCGGAGGTGAGTGAGGTCTCAGGGCTCCTTAAAGGGTGTGGGACAGGCTTCTGGGGCAATACATGGTCTGGCTAGATTCTCCTGTCAATGATGGGATTCTGCCATGGATTGGATAAGAGTCTAGTGGCCGTGCAAATCAATACTGCTCATCGATCGCTCCAAACTGATTCAACATAATTGCCTGGAAATTGACAACGTTTTACTTTCTTGCTCAATTGCAGCCATGCTTCTTACTGTAGATTTTAGATATAATGATCTGCCCTTAGGGCCTCCACCACCCCATGCCTGTCTCCTGATCCTTGCTATTGTGGTCCTGAAGTATTTGTGTCTTTCAACATAGGCTGCCTCAAACCCTTTCTGGAAAGAGGTGGAGTGTCACTCTTTTAAATAACTGTTCAAGATGCCTCCTCATTAAAAACTTAGATTTTCTTCAACTTGGAACACCATTTTAAAACAATTTATAAACTGGATCAGGATGTCAATGCTTTGGGGCTCTCAAATTCTAAAGCAGGATATTTAAGGAAAGTAAAGACATTTTTTCCCTTAGTTTTTCAAATGTCCTTGCTAGTTTTGGCACTTGAGACTTGACCTCTGTTGTTAGCTGAGGGTATATCTGCAGAATTCTCATGGTATTCATTGTATTCACCAGCAAAATTTGCCAACTGATATAGGTCAAGTGCCCATTTACCCTGAATCCAGATGGCCTCAAATATATCTAATCACAGAACTGGTAGGCACTGCAGACAGCTAAGTGACATTCATAATGATAGACTATAAACTATAGAATGACTTCAGAGTCATCAAAGAGTTATCAGTGGTGTTGTTGGGTTCTTGTGACATTTAATTCAGTGAATTTTACCTCCTTAGATTGTCATGTGGAATGTGTCTGTCAACAGCTATTTTATCCTTGGTGATGCAGCCTCTGTTCTTATCTTCCCATAAGCTGAGTAATTCTTGTTGCTTCCCATCTTTGTCCAATGGGATTTTGCAACCCCGTGGATTAGGTTTTCATAGCCCAAAGGTTGCTGTGGTGTCTTGACCCATCACTGAGGCACGTGACGAATGTTGAGCCTCTTGGTTAACCAGGCTGTGCAGTTGCTCAGCATCATTTTGAATGATCAGGGTGTTACTGTATTTACTATGACTTGCCCCCCAAAGTCTGCCCTCTTATAAGGTTATTTTCAACCTTGAAATCACTGGGTATGCACAGGGAGGTGCCAATCAAGCATTCTTTCCCAGATGCCCAGTGACAAAGAGCAAAAGCTTTCCGTTTTTTCAGGACTGTTTCCCATGTGCAGGTGATGAATTCTGAAGCGCCCTATGAAAGGGGAGCTCTGTGAATAGGGTATTGTATCTGGGAGGCTACCGCATGGAGCAGGAGGAAGTCCGCTGCCCTGGGAATTGGGAGGCGCATTCTGAAGTGCCCACTCCAAAGCTAATTGGATGGAGGACCATGGAAACAGGCCCTTCTCCTCTCTGGGCGCGTTTCCTCAGCTGTAAAATGAGGATGGTGAGAGGGCAAGTGAGCCCAGAAAAGCAAGGTGGATTCCATCAGCGCTGGCCCTGCCTGCCAGAAATCACTCCTCAGCAGGACTGGGGAGCGGGGAGGAAATGGAGCCATGGGAGGTGATCATGGCAAAGGGGGGGTGCTGCCCCTCTCTGGGACTGGCTGGGCCTCTGGATGGGCCTGTTTCCCCATGGAGCAGAATCGCTGCTGAGAGAGGGGCACCTGTGGGAGGAGGGAAACCCGATCCTTGGGTAGCTAAGTGCCTGAGGCCAGCCGTTTGCATCCTGTGGCAGGTCCGCGTGGACTGTGGTGGAACCTTCCTCAGCTGAGGCGGACTCTTTTCGCACAGACTGTTCTGCCCTAATTGCAGAGCATAGTGTCAACAGGCTCCAATTAAGGGTAATTATGTGATCTATGAGATGATTCTGCCACACTGGCTCCCCACGCTCTCTGGTCTCTTCCAGGACTGGAATTCCCCGGCAAAATCTAATCACCTGGAGCACGACTTAGAGCCTTCCTGCCTTCCTGCCGACTGCACACAGAGTAAAAACAGACAAACCTGCCCTCTGAGTGGATCAATATTAGGAACCACAGCAAAGGTCTATAGAGAATTCTATAGACCACAGCAAAGGTCTATAGAGAATTCAAATTCTCTATAGAGAATTCCCTATGTGCCAAGCTACTCAGGTGCCTCCTCTCACCTGACAGTCACAAAGATCTGAGGAGGAGGTATTGGGGAAACTGAGGCCCAGACAGGCAAAGCCACTCACCCCAGGATACATAGCTTGTGAAGACAGAACCAGGATTTGAACTCCAATTTGACTGACTCAGAGCTGAGCTGTTACCCCTGCTCCCTGCTGTCAGTGTCACACTGGATAGGGATGGCTTGGGGTCACTAAAGGAAGGTGATTTCTCCTCCCCCAGCCCTTGCTGAGACCCAAATTCTACTTCTACTGCCTTACAGCACAGGACAGTCTCACTGCTATCATTGGTTTTCTGTTCAGCCCTATGAGTTCGCAGGGTAGCTTTACTATGCCCATTTTACAGATGGAGAAAATGAACTCTGAGCTGGTGACTGGCAGAGGCGGGTCATTGAACACAAGTCTGTCTAACTTCCAGAGTCTGGGTTCTTTTTCCTTCCCCACAGCTTTCAAAGGACAAGGACCAAAGCTTGTCATGGAGCTGGGCCCAGGGCTGGATCCAGCAGGCAAAGGGCATCCCTGTGGCTGTGACTGTGCCTGACCTTCCCCTCCCATCATTCTGCAGGTGCCACCCCAAGGGTGAAGGATGCCACTGTGGGTGTTCTTCTTCGTGATCCTCACCCTCAGCAGTGGCTCTCACTGCTCCCTGCCCCCCTCCATGCCCCTCAGGTAAGCAGCCCCTGGGTTCCTGCCACTCCTAAGTCATCCCTGCCATGGGGCGGGTTGCAGAATCAAGCCATCAGCTGCGCCCTGGCTATTTCTTCAGGCAGCACCCACTGCCCATGTCTGAGAGGCGGCAGATGTTGAGCTCCAGGAAAGTTGCTCAGCTGGGGTCTGGGGGTGAGCAGGACAAAGGGCAACAGAGGACTTCACAGAGACATGGTGAGGGCAGTCCCCACTGTCCTCTTGCATGGCCCTCACCCTGCCCTTTGCCCTCTGACTCCTTCCACACAGGATGCAGCGGTATGCAGATGCCATCTTCACCAACAGTTACCGGAAGGTGCTGGGCCAGCTGTCTGCCCGCAAGCTGCTCCAGGACATCATGAGCAGGCAGCAGGGGTGAGCAGGAGCTCTGGGGATTTCTTCCCACACCTCTGTGCGTCAGAGTTTGGAAGCCCTGATGCAGCATGCCAGGGACCAATTTGTTCTCTTTCCTAGCACAGCTGCTGTCATCTCTGGACTTTCCATAACAGAAAGGCCCAAAACCTCAGCTTACCTCCACACCTACTAGGTGCTTCTCCCAGTGCTAGGCTCCAACAGTAACAATACTAACTGTATTACCATCTGATCGTGACTCCACACCAGAAACAAAGGCGCTGTACTGGGATGTGTACGTACACTCGGCACAGTGCTGGGCACACAGGAAGCCCTTAGTAGTGTCAGCCATTTTTCTTAGTTTCTTATCTAATCTTTGTAGCAACCCTACAAAGTAGAGATTCTTATCCCCATTGTACAGAGTTGTTAATAGTTTCTAAAGGATACAACCAAAGAGTAGTGGAGCAGGAGCCAAACAGCCTAACTCCACAGCCTGTTCATTTGTTACTTTTTATTTTGAAAAAATGTCATACTTACAAAAAAGTTGCAGCAATAGTACAGTGGACTTTCATATGCCTTTCCCCATATTCAATAATTTCTATAAGTTTACCACATTTGCTCACTCTATATAGCTAGATGCAGATCTATACACATACACATACACATTTATTATTATTATCATTTCTGCTGAACCATTTGAGAGTAAACTGCAGTGATCATGACCTTTACCCTTAAGTACTTCTGCATTTGTCTCCTAACACCTAAAAAAGGACAACCCCTTACACAAAACAGCATATTTATCACTTATAATATGTATTCAAATTTCACCAGTTGTCCCAAAATGTCCTTTATAACAGTGATTTCTTTTTCTTTTTCTTTTTTTTTCCTTTTTTCTTTAAAAGATGACCAGTAAGGTGATCTTAACCCTTGACTTGGTGTTGTCAGCACCACACTCTCCCAAGTGAGCAACGGGCCGGCCCTTGATTTCTTTTTCTGATCCAGGAGTCAATCCAGGATCAAGGGTTCCATTTAGTTGTCATGTCTCTTTAGTTTCTTTTAATCTGGAACAGTTCCTCAGTCTTTCACAACTTCGACATTTTTGATTAATGAAAGCTGATGGTGTATAGAATGTTCCTCATATTGGATTTGTTGGACATGTCCCTGTGATTAGACTCAGGTTATGCATTCACAGAAGTGATGTTGTGTCCTTCTCAGTGCGTGATATCAGGAGGCACATGATGTTCATCTGTCCCATTATTGGTAGATTATGGTGGATGGTAACATTGATCACTTGCTTAATGTGGTATCTCCAGGTTTCTACTCTGCAATGTTAATATTTTCCTCTTTATAATGAATGATCTGTGGGGAGATATTTTGCAACTGTATACACTCACACTATGGTACTCTTCACTACCATATATACTACCTCTCTAAATGTTGCTGAATCTAATTCAGTTGGGTGGAAGAGTGCATGCCAGATATTGGAATAGGAATAGGCATACATCCCTGCCTGTTTCCTACCCAAATAGCAACCTCAGGTCTTTCTCTTTTTTTAACCACATAGAGAGAGAAACCAGGAGCAAGGAGCAAAGGTACGATTTGGTCGTCAGGTGGACAGCATGTGGGTAGACCAAAAGCAGATGGCGCTGGAGAGCATCCTGATGGCCCTGCTGCAGAAGCACAGGTAAGGATGCATACATGTGTGCATGTGTGTGTGTGTGTATGTCAAGGGACCTCAGAGGCTTCCTTCTCCATGGGCTGCTAGGAAAAGGAAAGAATCCCCCCCTCTCCAAAGGTATGGAGTTCTGCCAAGCAAAGTAAGAACAATGCCCCTCCTTATACACATGAGAACTGGAGGAAGGAGATAAAATGTATGATGGAGACCACATCTTATCCACTGCTATGTCTCCAGTGTGAAGCAAGAGGGCAGGCTCAGCATCTATGCCCAAAATGTTACTCACCCAGTGGTTCTGGGATAGGACTCAGAAATTGAAATTTTAAACAAATGTTCCAGGGGATTCTGATGTGGGTGATCTGAGAAGCATGCCCTGGATTTTTTGCCAAGTTCACAAATCTATAAAGCCAAAGACAGACCAACCCTCCTATACCTGTGGTACATTCCTGTGTGCAGACACACTATCATCAGAGGGAGAGATGATAATGGCAGTCATTCCCCATCTCACTGGTCCTCGTGGTCCTGTTGGGAGTCAGGGAAGATCAGAAATGAGTTTTTCCATTTTATAGAAGAGGAAAAGTGAGGCCAAGAATCAGCAGCAGCTGGTCCCAGGCCAGGGACTGGCAGGCCCAAGACCTGCTTTGCCTCCCTGGACTTTCATATCAATCTCCACTTGATGGTCAAAGTTTCCCAAAAATGGCATGACTATTTGGAGAAACTCTGCTGTATTTTAGAGCCTGATTTTAAACTGTGAGCACAAGCATGTCCCAGCATGACTCTGCCAGACACTTCTGGACCAACCTATTAAGCAAATCTGGTTCCCAACAGAGATCTCCATGGGCTCCCTCACCTTCTTCCCAACCTAATTAGACACCAGGAGCCCAGAGTTCTCACCAGCTACAGCCCTGTGGAGATACAAGCAGTGGCAGGCCTGCAGGAAGATGACAGGAGGGGTGAGATCCAGGCTGGGAGGCAGATGCACACCTGGGCCCCAGGCTTGTCACCAAGTCGCTGCACACAGCAACAGGCAGCTTCCTAGTTTCCTCCTCTATGAAAGGACGGGGTTAGCTCTACTCACTGCTCAGGTCCCTAAGGCTATAATTCTAAAAATAGTGCCTCTAAGAAGAATGCCTCCTCTGTGCCTCTCATGCTGGATTAGGTCATTATTCAACTGCTATGGCTCCCACCAGGTCCCATAGGCTGGGGTGTCCCCAAGGAGGGCCAGTCCTAAGAATGTAGGCTTTGTTCCTGTAGGTTAAAAGCCAGAGCTTCACAGAGCTCGAAGTCATTGAGCACACAGAGCATGCAGGGACCTGGAGCCATTGTTCCCCTACAGCTCAACGGCTGCAAATAGCAGGATGTCACAGGTGGGCCTGAGAGAGTACAAAATAAGAATGAGTTCTTAGACCTCTATATTATGTAGAGTATATAGAGTGATTTGACAGACTTTTGTACCCATTATACCTTGTGTCCACCTAACAGCCCTGTAAGGAAACTGAGGCTCAAGTTGAGCCATCCTCCCAGCCCTATAACAACCATCCAGTGACTATGACATGCCAGGCTGTGGGCTGGGGGTATAGCAGTGAACAGGACAGCAGTGGTCTCTGCTCTCATGGAATTCATAACACACCAAGGCAGCCAGGAATTAAGCAAGTTTTATTTGTGAACAACGGTAAGGGTGTGGTGAATGTGTGGCCAGGAAGAAGCTAACTCTTTTGGGGATTAGAGGTGGCTTCTTCAAGGGGAAGTGGGTGGCCCAGGGTCTCAGTAGGAGCCGGTTGGCTGAACAGGGGCTAAGACTGGGCTCCGATCTGCTGGCCTGTGTGAGCACCCCTCCCTCCACCCCACACTGCCTTCTTTGGAATCCAGACAGCCAGCTCCTGTCACTGCAGCACCCATCACCCTGTTTCCTGGTGTTTCACTCGAACTCACCCTTACTTCAGTCCCACGGACTGAGCTTTATTTCTCTTTTTGCAACAGGAATTCCCAAGGATGAAGACTCTGCCTGTGGTTTAGGTTACCTGGAGCCAAAACACAACTGGATCCAGTTAATCCTATTTCATTTCTGACCTACTTTTTCCTTTGTCAATACAATAAAATTCCTCCATACTGGTCTGCATTTATGTTTTATCTTCAGCCTAATTTTTTATGTGTTTTACATACTTACATTTCCCAAAGTGGTATTACAAGATATAATAATGAGAAAAGCTAACATTTACCAAGCACTCACAGAGTGCCAACCGGGTGGCTTCAGGCATAGAATCTCATATGCTCCTCACACAGCCTAATGGCAGGTGTTGGTGTCCTCCTCCTCATTTCATAGACAAGGAACTGAGGCACGGAAAGGTTAACCAAATTGTCCACAGTCACAGCTGTCAAGTAAGAGAGCTTGGATTCAAACCTAGGCAGTCCCACCCAGAACCAGGCTCTTAACCATATTCGTCTACTCTGGGTCAAAGTCATCCTTCATCCACTGGTGACCTGCTCATCTATGAGCAATACCATTTATTCATTCAGCAAATATTTATAGAGAACCAGGCAGCATTCTAGGCACTGGGGGACAGTCATGAGCAAAGTCCCTAACTTCATAGAGCTTATATTCTAATGGAGGAGAGGGAAGAATAGTAAAAACAGGTAACTATAGAATATGTCAGATGGTGGCAAGTGCAAGGAAAGAAATTTAAGGGGATGGGGCATGCTGGAGGGTATTATTTGATCTACAGTGCATATATTGCTCTGTAGTGGTCAGGGAAGGCCTCACTGATGATGAGACATTTGAGAAAAGACCTGAAGGAGGACAGGGAGTTGGCTTTGTGCATATGTGGGTAAAGAGCATTCCAGACAGAGTGAAAACCCAACACAAAGGCCCTGAGGCAAGAGCATGGGAGGAGCAGCAAGGAGGTCAGTGTGGCTAGCTAGAGCAGAGCCAGGCTGTGAGAGGAAGGAAAGGAGGGCGAGAGGGAGCAGGAGGACAGCCCATGGTGCTGAAAAACAAAACTTTAGCAAACTGAGTGAGTTATTTATTTATTTATTTCACAAATGGAGTTTTAAAGATCTAATTGGCTTTTATTAGCGATTCATGAACTAGGCAGCATCCAGAGGGGAGCTCCAGAGAGCTGAGCAGAAGTGGACTTTATAGGCAAAAATTTTTTAAAAGGCTGAAGAAACAGAAACCAGGAACAAAAAGTATACTCATCATTTCCAAGTTACTTTCCTCACAGAGCAGAGGGGACTTTTTTACCATGCTGGCTCAGGTAGACCAGGCCCCTTCTGATTGCATGCTGTGAATCTCCTGTTTTTTTGAAAACTGTCCCATTTTTAAGTTCAGTTTGATTACATGGCATCTGGTACAAGGGACTCCATTCTGGTTTGGTCTGGTTTGTTGGGGCCTAGCACAGGAGCTCAGTCCAAAACAATGGCCTCCTGTAAATTTTGTTTAAGAAGGTCATGGTAAGAATTTGGATCTCACGCTTGTTGAGATAGAAGCCATAGTAGAGTTTAAGCAAAAGAATGACATGATCTGACTTACGTTGAAAGTCACTTTGGGCCAAATTCTAGATACATTCTTAGGGTAGAACCCATTTGCTGACAGAGAGGGTGTGTAAAGATTGGAGAGGAGGCAAGAATGATTCCGTAGTTTTTGGCCTAAGGAATTGGAAAGATAGAGCTACCACTTAGCAGCTTTGCCAGTAGAGGCAGAATTAGGAGTTTGGGTTTGGACATGTTGAGTTTGAGATGTCTGTTAAAGGTCCAAGTTAGGATGTTGAGTAGGCACATGGATATACAAGTCTAGAGTTCAGGAGAGAGGCCTGAGCAGCTGGTTTGGTTTGATAGCTGTCACCATGTAGATGGTCTTTCAAGTCAAGGGACCGGGTTAGATACCAAGGAAGAAACACAGAAAGAGTAGAGAAGTCCAAGGTCTGACCCTCAGGGCACTCCTACATTTAAAGTTTGGAAGAAAGATGAGGAAACAGCAAAGGAGACCGAGAAGGAGCAGGCAGGGAGGTAACAGGAAAACCACTCAAGAATCCTAGAAGCCAACTGAAGAGTGTTTCAAGAAGAAGGAAGTAATCTACTCAGCCAAATGCTGCTAATGGGTCAAGTTAGTTGAGAACTGACCATGGCAGTGATTGTGGAAGCCACTGATGACCTTGGCAAGAACAAACTGGGTGGAGTGGTGGGGGTCAAAGTCTGATTCAAGTGGGTTCAAGAGAAAATGGGAGAAGAGGAATCAGAGCTGGTAAGGATAGACTTAGCTGTCCAGAATGGTGACTGCTAGACATATGCAGCTATTAAACACTTGAAATGTGGCTAGTATGAACTGAGATACACGTTAAGTGTAAAATAAACACTGTATTTCAAATACCTAGTATGGAAAAAGAATGCAAAATATATACCAATAATATTTTATATTGATTGCATATTAAAATGACAATATTTTGGATATACTAGGTTAAATAAACTATATTAAAATAATTTCACCTGCTTTTTTTTTTTTTTTTTTTTTTTTTTTTTTTTTTTTTTTTTTTTTTGCTTTGTTTTTTTTTACTTATTGTGGTTACTAGAAAATATAAAATCATCTATGTGGCTTGCATTATATTTCTATTCAATGGCACTGGCAGAGATAATTCTTTTGAGAAATTTTGCTATAAGGGGAAGCAGAGAACTGGAGCCACTGACCAGAGGTCCCCACATCAGTAATTATCCAACTTTTCCCATTCATGAACCACTTTATCGGGGCCAAATATTCCCACACATCACCTACCTTCTGTATGCTTCTTATCAGAATCTGTGAACTTTCTGGGGTGATCGAAATGTTCTATATTTTGATTTGGGTAGTGGTAGTGTAGTGTACCAGTGTAGTTACATGTAAAAATTCATCAAGCTGTACACTTCAGATTTGTGCCTTCTATCGTAAGTTAATGAAATCTAAAAAAACCCCGACAACTGTGGAAAGTCTGTTTTGATTAAAAGTGCAAAAAGAATCACGGCATCTTAGAGTTGAGTGGGACTTGACCATGAACAATCCCACCCCCTTCGTTTTTCAGCCCAGGACGCTGCCACCAGTGAAGGGAAGTGCTGGCAGCCGGGCCTCCAGTCTCCCAGCACCAGAACTGTAAACCAACTCAGTTCTTCATAGGGTTTAGACCACCTGCTCTTCCTGGGAGCCCCAAGAAAAAATGCAAAGCGTGGGAAACACTCTGCGGGGGGCCACCCTGGCAGCTCTGCTAAAGAGCCGATTGGAACAATGGGGAACAAAAGCCCCCTCCAGAGGAGAGGGCTGGCCATTGAGGGCAGGCAGTCCACTTCAACAGGCAGAGGCGGGCAGGCCAGGAACCTGCCAAGGAGGAAGAACAAAGGAGACGTGCTGAATGGGGGACTGGCCTGGGCCAGTCCCGAGACCCCCTCCTCTGTCTTGGACCCACCTGCTCATCTCCTCCCTTGGCCTACCCTGACAAAAGCAGAAACTGAGGGCTCTCTCAACTTCCAATTAGTTGTTTTCAAATGAAATAAAGACTGCTGGGCCCTGCTGCTACTTGTGGCTTTCGAGGTGAATGCAATTATGGAGGAAAAAACTATCATGGCAACAACTCCGGTGCTCTGTCACCATTAACTGCGACACTAATGGCATCTTAAAAGACTTAACTCCTCCCCACAAAGGTGCTGGGAGCTTCCCACTCCCATGGGGGTCCTACTTAAGACTGAGTGCTAAGAAAAAAAAAAAAAAACACTGAGTGCTATTTTTTACCCTAAAGACAGGCTCTAATCTATGGCGATTTATCGCTTGTAATGATAATCCTGTATGTTTGTGTTAACTTAAAGTTCACAAAGAGGCCTCCCATCCACTACTTCATTTTCTCCCTATAACCACCCTCTGGAGGAAGGCAGAGCAGGGTTCACTGGCCCCAGGTCCCATAGGTGTGAGGTAGCAGAGCTGGGGACTGGTGGTGGTGGTGGCGGGAGCAGTGCTCTTGCATTGCTTTAAGACTCCAGGCAAATGTGAGCTGTGGAATCAAGTGACTTATACTACTTGAGGATTACTTGCATTTCCTAAGTTAACAGGAATGTGGACTTGGTACAGCCTGCTTAGTGGGCTAATAATACCCAGGACTAACAATGATAATATCCACACTAATCAGAGCAAACACTGATTCAATGCTAAGTGTCAGGCACTATGGTATTGTTTGGGGTGTGACTTTATCTAATCTTTATAAAGCCCTCAGATGTATTATCCCCATTTTTACTGACGGGAAACAAAGGCCCAGAGAGGTAAAGAAGGGGGCATAAGGAGGACACATAGCTAATAAGGGAATTCAAAACAGCTCCATTTAACTCTAATGATGTGCTTTGTAATCCTTAGAGAAGGCCAGGCCCAGGCACTACTATAGTGAATAATTTGAGTGACGAATCCAGTGGAGTTCATCAATTCTGTCAACTCTGGCCTTCCTAGACCCACTTGGTCATAGCAACCGGGTCCTTACCCTGCAGCTGTGCTCTAGAGCTGAGAGCTGAGAGTGCTTCAGGAGGCTTCACCCAACTGTAGGGTCAGACAGACGGCATCTGCCTCTGCTACATCCGAACATAAAACTCAAATTGCTTGAAATCTGCCATTGGTCCTAAAAGTAAATCTACCCCCTTTACTACAGACCTTAAAAGCCTAATTTGTTCTGGCTTCTTCTACCTCATCCGAGGATACTCTTCTTGCTAATGACACCCTGGTTACATTGGCTACTTTCAGTTCAAACATGCCAAGCTCTTGCATCAGAGGCTGTGCATGTGCTGCTTCTCTGCCTGAAGTGCTCTTCCACAGCTGCACAGCGGCCTCTTGTTCTTCAGGTCTCAGACAAAAACTGCTTCCTTCAAAGGCCTTCTCATGTTTGCAATCACTCTGCTCCCTCTCTCTCCTGTCTGTCTCCATCCAAGCTGCATGTGGACCAGGGGGAGGGGCCTTATCTGTCTTACTCACTGCCATAGCTCTGAACACAGAGCTTGGCACATAGCTTTTCTGTGCTCTGTTCTCCAGCTCCCCTCTGGTCTGCAGGCCAGCCCTGAGCCAGCCTCAGCACCCCTTAGCTTTGCCAGCCCCTTCTTTCTCCAAGAAGCTGTCCTGACCTCCTT